TGAACTTAACTGAGAAAATATATTTGCCACCATGACCATGAAATTCTGTCACTTAGCTCATTAAACAGGCCTGCAGAGCAAAATCACACTCTTTATGATAGCGCCAACTGAGACTAAACTGATCTATAGTCTATGAATTTGAACAAAATATTTAAGACCTTGCAGCTTAACTAAGAGTGAGGAGATTGCATTACTAGACTTCAGTAGCTTTGCTTGATCAGGGTAAGCTGTAAGTGGATGGACATAGTGGACATTAGTTCTGTGCTTTATACAGACTACAACGAGACATACAGACTGTGTGCAATTTGACCAAATAGCCATTTTTTGATGCATTTTTTGCTGTTCCTACTCTAAAAGTTAATGCTGAGCAGACATTTTGGGGCCTTTTAAAAAATCTTAACACAGGCTTAGCCCCCTGTCCGTTAACCACTAGTGTTGCCCCTAAGTTGCATAATGGCAGATGTATTGTAGACAAGAGGATTTACACGGTTTATTCAGGAGCGTTGGTGTACTGTGGACACTCTAAGGACAAAGCACAGACTGGACAGTGATCAGTCTCAAACAACACGGAAAAAAGACCATCCACTGTTTTCTTTCCTCTCCATGTGCTAAAACACTCCCATGCACATCGCCTCCAATTGTGTGGACACTCATTTGAACGATCTGTTCAATAACCTGCTTTATTTGCACTCCTAAGATAGTCAAGTGCTGAGGAATAGACTCTTTTATGCACAGCTTAGGGTAAGTAACACATGGACTTGAGTCTTGGGAGTTTTAAGAACTTCTGTGAACTCGTGAAGCTGTTGTTTAACTGCTTTTGGCCTGATTGAAGAGCAGCAGACCTGAAGATCAGAAAAAAGAAGGAGCAGAAAGCCTTCGATTAGCATTATAGTGCGTTCAGTCATGCGATGTGAAAAGCGGATGAGTATTTACTGCGCAAAAGTCCCGAGGTCCTCCTTGAGCCCTGTGTGTAGAACCTCATAAATACACATAGCTTCAAGTTCATCAACAACATATGCTAATATAAAGCAGATGCAATGGTAGAAAAACAAACTGTGAACAGTTTAAAGGCTCAGATTTATTCTGTACATACTTAAAATATGAAGTTGCCAAAAAGGGTTTTTGGAGCACCTTTCCTCACAAAGTGAGATGCAAGTGTGAAGAGCCTTTTCAAAGTTTAAGGAACCACTGCATAATGTAAAGTTTCCAGCCAGTTAAAGGTTTTCAGAACCATACATCCAGGCCAAGAACCATTTAGGAGGATGTATTTTTCAGAATGTGGTAACATCTGTGAAGTAACACCACACAATATTGGTTAAAATATAGACTTAAACCATCAGGACTCATTAGAAAGTAGTTAGTGGCCTACTGTGTATCATTCCATGGGTCTTCACTAATATGAAGTCAAATGAGCAAAAAGCTCAAAACCAACTAGAGGGGGAAGCTGTGAACCAACTTTAAGATGGCTCAACAAAGCTAGTTAGTAATGCTTCAGGAGCTGTACAATGGTTGTGTAGATATGTAGATAATGTATATAGTGGATATAAATGATACAGTAATAATTTGAACATTCCACCATTTTCAGCCATGGGGAAAATTGTCTTTCAACAATCGCTCAAAGCACAAAGTTTAGTGGTTCTAGTTCAAAAGTTGTAAGTGCTAAAACATTTTATATGGTTTTATCTTTTGAACATAGAAGGAAAGTCATTCAGAGTCACCCTCTGTTTCATATATCATTCCTTTCAGTCACCCTCTTAAAAATTACATTTCAGATTTGCACAATTAAATCAGCGTTAATATTAAAATGTGCCAAAACAGCGACTTTAGCAGTGCATGCAAGTAATAACAGGGAGGTCATAATAAAAACACTGTGTTTTACAAGATGTTCAAACATTTGATTTATTTTTAATAATCATTTCAGCAATCATTTTTGAAATATTTTAAAAGGTATGATCACCGCTGAAATTCGAGGTGTATCTCTCCATCACGTCTTAGAATTCTGCCCCAGAACCTCAAAACATCGTTGAGATTTTGGAGAATCTTTTACAGATACAAACGGCAAATACAGTTCCAACGATTTCAAACAACTGGCATGTCCTCTTTGTACTTCACTTTACAAAAAAAGAGAAAAATAATGACCATCATTTGAGCAACAAAACATCAAACGCTGTTAATTCATTTACCAGAAAGACGTCTTTAATCTCAGATATGATACAAAATAAAAACTTTATATTCAACTTTAAAAGAACGTCACATGAAACGACTAAAAAGAGCCTGTTTGCAAGAGAACAAGCGGAAATAAACGCACACCTTGTGACGTCGAAAAAACTGTAAAGCGACTTCAGTTTCTGAACATATTTGCTTCTTTAAAGTGGGAGACTGAAACAGTGACATCTGGAATGCCCTAATTTAAGAGATTGCAAGCATTAAGCTACTACGAAGTGGATCATTCATAGCAGATTTGAGATGCGAGTGTCAAAGTGCCTTACAAAGGATTAGTGCTACATCTTATAGTTTTTCAAGAAACAAAAGTGAGGAGGAAGGTGATCTAGGTGTAACATAGCTAAGGCTCAGATAACAGACCCATTTCAAGTTGATTAATGCATATCCACGTACCAATCCAATTTGAATACATTCATTTCGAAGGAATGCCTTCGATAATGACAGATTTAAAACAAATCTATGCCAATGAAGACAGATTATGGAGAACTAAAAATGAGACCTACGGGTTAGCTATAAGCCACTCAGAGTAGATAGAACAAGGAAGACTCTTGTGGTAGATCTTAATTTAGAAAAAAATGGATGGTCTGGTCTGAAATATAGAAAAAGGCAGTGTCAGATTCTTGTATGAAACCTCAAGGGCAACTAATAACAACAAATTCATCCAAAGCTGCCAAAATATCAAGCACCAGATTTTGACGCAAGTGTTTGGCTGTAATAAACGTTCCAAAAACACATGCTGGCAGCAAGCGATGAAGTCTACAAACCCTCAAAAAATATTAAAAACATTATTCGTAAGTGATTTTTTTGGAATGTTTCAATATATAAGACAAAAAATACACCAAATAGCAATAATAACAACCCATTGTGTGCAGGAAACCATGGGAGGAAAACACCCACCACCCTTTGACAAACCAAATAACTGTTCTATCAAAAAAGCTTTTTTAGATGTGTACATTTCCCTAACTACGGGCCAACACGTTTAAAAAAAAAACAAATACATAGGGAGTAAATCACCCTGTGAATGAATATTCAACTCACAGATTAATTGGAATTTGAAGTACTACAGTTTTAAAACTTAAGTGAATATAAAATACAACTTAATTTCAGTGAAGTAGCACATTCGTCAGCATTACTCACTTTGACATGAATTTAAAATTTTTTCTCAGTTGTACGTACTTGTACTTTTGTTTCTTAAACATATATGTTGTGTACAGTAAACAGATTTTTGACAATTTCTGCATATTTAAATGATCAGGATGTAAACAAAATCAATCAGGGTTTGATGTGAAATGTGGCTTTCTATAGAAACTTTGGCTATTTTCACACCTAGTTTGGGTTTTTGTGACATTGTATTTTATTCATTTGTTTCAGTTGGTTTCACTTCACTGCAAAGGCTCAGGTGCACCAAATCACACATGTTGATGTTTAGTTATTGGTCAGAAATTTTGCAGGGATGCAAGTGCTCAGTTTCTGTCACATTTGCCACCACGAACATAGAAAAACAGAAAATAGAGATGCTTAACGTCTGTGTTTGTCACAGTCAAAGCAAAAATAATAAGTCTGCTTCTTTATGATTAGTTTGTCGATTTGAATTTAACCAATCAGGTCGCAGATGCTTGACCAAAAATACATGCTATCCATGTGCCAAAATCAAACATGCTGCTAGAAAACAAGAAATGCATGTTCTGATGTTGCATCGTAAAAATGTGATCCTACTGGGGCTCCTGGGTTCACATTGAAGTGGGCCGAGACCATGCCAACCCAAGTACAGAGTGTTTCACACCTGTCAAAACAGACTTAACTAAAGAAAAAGTTCTATATGTCTGTGCCAAACAAATTAGGTGTAAAAGGGTCCCACCCAGAATTATTCAGAGTGGTGGAGATACGAACCAGACCTTTGAACGCCTATAAAGCTACCTCACAGAAAGTTCTTACAAAACTAAATGGTAGTGAATATGTTGCCTTATTCCTGAGACATTTTAAGATAAAATATAGGCCTAGAACATAGCAGACAGAAACACTGATACTGTAAAAATACTGTTTTAGCTCAAAAACATGAGTTAACGGGCTGCTTTAAAATTGTGAGCAAGTCAACAAAACTTCTTGTTCTACTGCTGGTAACTAAAGTTAATTTTTTGTAAAAGGGCGGGGCATAATAAAGCAAAATAGTACTGAAACAAAAACTTTTTTACCATTAGTTCACTGTTATCAACAATATATAGAATAACTCAATGCCATTTGTGTTGTAAACTTTGTGACCCCTGGTTCCCCTCACTGCCACTGTAAAGAAAATCTTGGCAAGTTTCTCTACAGTGAACCATTTCACATCAAACCACTAAATGATTTTGTTTACATCTTGACGATTCAATCATGCCTACATTTTGAAAAAGGAACAGAATTCCCCTTCAATCATGGAATAATGTTTACAGTTGTATGCAAACGTTTGAGGTGAGAAGCAATTAACACATCCTCTACAGGGAATCAACCTCTTACATGGCCAACTCCTGCTGGCGGGCCCAAAGTTTTATTGCACACTTCTATAACTTAAGAGTAACTCAAACAGTTTGCATTTAAGTCCCTGTAGTTACTGAATAATAAGTCTTAGCATGTAATAAGTCTGGGATTTTAAGGGGTTGAATGAAACATGAAATTTTATTTAAATTTTATTTTGCACAGGCCACATTTTATGTTTTATTTTTTCCCCAATATGTTTCATTCAGCAAATAAACAATGACTGTCCATTAAAACATGCAGAAATGTGTTCATTGTAGAGGTCTGTTAACTTATTTCACCTCGAAAATCAACAAAACATGTCTTTTGATCGGGGGCACCCAAATGTTTGCATACAACTGTACAGATGTAATCCATGGCTTAACTATCTAGCAAGCCTACATGCTGCATTATCTAACATAGTTATAATTTGTGCCAATATGACATGAACCTAAATATAACACATATTACATCTTACACTGTTTTACAGCTTGAAACAGTATAAACAGAGCTTAGAGGAACACAGGGCATTTTGTCCCAGTAGAGATACTGAATCTCAATAAATAATAACAGTTTATTAATATGTTCAGGCACCCAAAACATCAGAAGAAACTCGAAAAGGAAATTGGTGGTTTTCTATATAAATGAACTTGTGGGAGGGGGACATTTTACCTTACAGTATACTATATGGATCATTCTACTAAATTAGTTCAAACTGTTCTCCCACAGTAACAGCAACAGCAAAATTATGACGTATTTAAACAGTAACAACAAAATTATGATGTATTTAAACAGTAACAACAAAATTATGATGTATTTAAACCCAAAGCTTTCATTTGCACTACTGAAACAGTCACTACTGTGTTTTGACTGCTTTGGTAGTGACAAAATGGAATATTCACTCTTTTAAATAAAACAAATTAAAATAAATAAAAGGTATATAGCCAACCTATTTTAGTGTAAAGTTCAAGTCAGCAAAAAGTCTGAAATGCGTTTTCAACTCTGATTTTAAACAAATTTGGTAGAATGATCCATATAAGCTAATTACACATTTCCCCCTAAATACAGAACCAATTAAAAAATGTCTTTGACCTCTTTCCGGATCCCTTACTACATTTTAGTAAATAGCAAAGAAATTGGGTTGCGATACTGATATGTAATCTGCAACTTTAGCTTCAGTATGTTTTGTTATAAACAAAATAATTTATAACTTTTAAGCGTGAAGTAAAAGTGCTTTGGAAAATGTTGGACTCCAACATGAGAGCCTTCCTTTTCAGATGCAAATTATATGATTACTGTACATTTATTCAATTACTTAAAAAAACAACGTCACATAATCAGAAACAACAAAAACACTGGAAAGAGTGGAATATCAGATAAAAATTTGTGTTGCTAGTGTATGTTTGTAAACAGAAGCTATACACTGCTGAACATGAGGCCCTTTCTACTCCCAACTTGAGGCTTTATGAAATGCAAGGACGAAACTGAACAAGAAAGCTCCAAAGCGAACTGGCTCCTGACATATCAACTCCAAAGTATGCGATACAGAGCACAATGTTACATATGCTTGTAACATTTAATAAAATAGCTAAAAAAGAATGTCTCTCTGCCTCGACCCGTCGACCACTCCTCAAGACTCAATAACGGAGTGCCTAGATTACAAAAACATTCCACTTGTATAGTTATAACGTTAATACTAATATTGATATTAAGAGATTATCATGACATACAATAACAAAACTGCCGTAGGCTCCTTAGCTCGTCGATCCTATGGAATCGTGAAATGTGACGTAACCCGAGGACGCGGCCGCCGAGTTTAAGAAACTATTTGTGCTTCCTTTGCCCTCGCCCTTAGTCACGTGCTGCTTGTGGTCCACTGCCCAGGCGAGCGCCTCCGCCTGTCCTGTTTTTCCCCTGAGCGGTGAGTGCACCTCTGTCCGCATGCCCTGGCCCGGAAGGACCGCTTCATGCACACGCTTAGTGTCCTGCCGGTGCTCGCGGCACCCCTTGTTATCGCCGCAGAATTTGCTTGAGCCCTGCTTCCTGGGTGACTCCTGAGCCAGTTCACTGCGGGAACTCTTGATGTGCTCGGAGCTGCGGCGCAGGGCCTGAGGCTCGCGCTCGAAGTGTGTGAGCGGGAAGTGCGGCAGCAGGATGACGTGCTGCTCATACGAGGTGTCGGGCACAAGCGAGACAGCGGAGGCACGCCGCGGGCTCCTCATGGGGCTGGCCAGCGGCGTCTCGTCAATGAAGTTGACCACCTCGTCACGGCTGAAGCACTTGAAGTCGTCCTCATAGCGTTCGACGCGCGGCAGCTGCTTGAGTGAGTGTGTGTCCTCGGACCTCCGGCGCATGCGCTGCGGGCGGCTCTCCTCGTGGTAGGACACCAGGCTGCTCCGCCGCCTCTCGTGGCGCGGCGAGCTGTACTGCGGGATCCCCACCATGTCCTCGGTGGAGCCCCAGCGATGCAGGTATGAAGGGATCTGCCCGGTGGTCCACATGTCGGTTTCGTCGTGGGAGTATCTTCTTGTAGGGGGCACCTGGCGCAACACACACACACACACACGGCGTGGCTCCATTAATCATATACACTGACAGTCAGTACCAGTATGTATTAGCAGAGAAGACTGCAAACAGGTGGGGCATGCTCTCAAAGTTCTTTATCCATTACTACAATAAGCTTATTTCAGCCAAAGTCAAATGTGACTTGGGGAACACTTAAACCCTGCTACACAGCACTGACATAACCATGCTATTAACATGTCATGGCAGCTGTCATATGTTGTCATGAGTTGTCAGGACAGATTTTGTTCAGTAATATAAGAGTGCCATGTCATCTTTACCAATAATTGTCAAGACAGATGTCATCAGTGGGATAACGAGGATATTATCGGTCCCAGTGCAAAAAAGAATGAATTGGCTCCGCCATACAATAATTACTTTCAATGAACAAAAAACAACAATGTAATTTGCTTTTTTGTTAGCTATTATGTTTCAAACAAGTTGATGCTCTAAAATCTAGCATCTCATGTTAACCTAAATCTTATGTTACCTATTTAAGAAAAGTTATAAATATGCATTAGAAATAAAAGGTGTATAATCAGTATTAAGTAGTGGGAGTAGTGAGAATGGAAGCAGACTGGTAATTGCTTCACTATATGAGGGGCCCAATAAAGTCTTAAAGGGGGCTTAGTCACAGTGGGCCTCCCATGCTGTGGGCCCCAGTGTGATTGCCCCAAAATGTTTCATGTTTAATATTAGTCCCAGTTTATATTAAGTGTCTCTAATAACTGTGTAGTTAGACTGTAACATTACATGCAACAACAGCGCAACTACTGTTGATGTACTCACTGTTACAAATGGATTACAGTAGTACAGCTTATGTGAATATATATTTGTATCACTTTAGTTTTTACCCCTGTAATTTCACAAGTGTATCTTCAGATTTCTAACCGTACATAAACTGTACTACTGTAATGCATCTGTAACAGTACTTATGGTTGCACAAATTGTTCATGTGTAACTACACAGTTATTAGAGACACTTCAGATAAAATGGGACCCTAATTTGCTAAGTATACTCTAGTTAGCCATCATGACATCTGTCATGACACCTATGATGGCATTTGACACCTACCATGCAATGTTTATTGCATGTTTATGTCAATGTTATGCAGCAGAGTTCAAGTAAAGCGCTACCAAGATTCGAGACATTCCACCAATGCAAGTACCCATTTGTCCCGTCATACATTTTTAAAGAATACATTTGCAGAACATTTAAAATGACATTTAAAACAGTTATTAATGGTGAAATCAGTCATTTGCATTATTAGGATGTTTTAAGTACACTAACAAATAAATACTCCTCTAAAAAGTTCTTGGCTTGGATGTACAGTTCTAGTAACGGCCTTTAACTGGTACAGAATCTGGGATTTTTAAAACTTCAAAAAGCTGCACACCACATTTACAAAAAGGATTCTATAAAGAACCATTCATTCTTTGTAGTACCAAACGTGGTTCTTCTATGGTATCACTCCAAAGCACCTTTATTTTTAAGCATGTAATAATAATTATTAAATTATGTGTTCAACAGTGTTACCGAAACCAATTTACCGTGCTCAAATAAGAAATGATTAAGACCCTAACATCTTGTCCAAGAGAACAATAAGCCCCCTGGCCTGGAGAAGCAGGATTTCCCCTACAGGACAAATAAAGACAGGTGACAAATTAAGAAAAAAGAAAAACCTCACTAACCCTAAAGTAGAGAATCCTTTCTGAGAAGTGCAAATTCATGATACAATTAAGCAAATAACAGATGTCAGGAGCTTCAGACACAAAGACTGCTCAACTGGCTAGTGTTTCAACAAGAAGTTCAGTGATGCAAAAACTATAGCATTGGTCTACAGAGATACAGGGAAAAGTGACCTGGTCAGAATAGTCATCACAATATTTTCCACAAGAGCATGTGTGGTGACCACCAAGAATGATCACCAGATCTGAACCCAATTAAACACCTATGGGAAATTTGGAACCAACATGTTAGTGCTTTCCACCACCGCAATAAAGACATACTCTGTGTTTTTGGATGAATGGTGTTCCATCCCTCCAATACAGTTCCATTCATTCTACAGTTGTAGAATGAATGTCTAGGTGCATTGAAGCTGTCCTGGTGGCTTGTGGTGGTCCAGCACCTTACTAAGACACTTTATGTAGGTTTTTCCTGTAATCTGTCACCTGTTTGCATGTTTCGGTAACAAGGTTGCACACACATTCTGCAAATTTGAGTGCACAATTTCTATTTGTTTGCTGAGCTTAACATACTGGAAAAATTCAATAAAAAACAAAAAATAAAGTAAATCTGCATTAAAAAAGACAGAAGTGTAGCAAACATGTTAACTCATATTCACTTAAAATTAACAAAACGTTATTTGACCATGAGCAGCCCAACCTTTACATACAACTGTAATGGTTGCACACAATTATTACTCCATTATTCCATTAAGCAAATAATAAAATGTACTTTTTTCACCATTAAAGCACACCTACATCAAAGCAAAAAAGACACAAAAATAGACATAAGACTTGAGTTTTAACACTCAGTACATGTAATCTTTGAAAAGTTATAGCGGGACAAAAAAGTTGCTCTCCTGCAGGGGTGTCCAATCTTATTCGCAGAAGGCCGGTGTGGTTGCAGGTTTTAACAAAGCAGGAGGTCACCTGATTAAATGTTTTAAGACTAAGTGAAAAAGTGAAAAACCTGCAGCCACACTGACCCTTTGCGGATAAAATTGGTCACCCCTGCTCTACTGGGTTAAAGACTTGCTTACGATCAAAGGTAATATATAAAGCTGTTTATAGGAACTCCATAGAAAGTGCACAAGCATCTAAAATGTCATAATTAATTGCTAAGTTTACAGATAGTCAGTCATTACTACTTAGTTTACAGATTAATACTCACATTCCACATTGTTCTGAGAACTACATAAGAGAGACATAATTGTTTAGTATTTAGTATGAAATCTTTTTTGTGCTCCCAGAAACATACAGCACAAGCTTTGAACCAAGCACCCTTAGTTAATGACAGAATGAAACAGCAGCTGAAGCTCTACACTTGCTTTGTTCTTGTGCTGAATTTTGAGGGTGACTGGCTAGAAGCGAGTATGTGCAAACTTTGGCCAGCAGAGGGAAGCAAAGCATTACTATATGAGCAATGGAGTACTACAGCACTGCTTTGGTCATGGTGCTGAAGGTCAGATTCGATAGTGGGCAGGTCAAGTCCATCGAGCCAGTAAAATAATATATCGTCTGTGCAACACAGTGACTTCTGTGTATGTATTCTTATACTTGTAAAATCAGTTAGAATACAAAAATATTTTTAACTTTCACTGGGAAACAGATATTTAATGGGAAATTCGAGCAGGATTTTCTCGAGAAATTGCATTTCTGTATGTCCTTATATTTAGATCAGTAACAACCAATCAGAAAGAGTGACTGGTAAAAACACTGTCGTAATAGAATGAGGAGACCTTATAACATTGACTTACTGTACTATGCAAAAGTCAGAGACCAGCCTTCATTTATCTAATTTCCAGTCAAAATGGACAGAAAGCTATTCAATTTTTCAGGAGACATTTCTGAGTAGACTAGATATTAGATAAACCACTTGCATAAAGAAGAGGAAAGTCAAAGAACCAAATTAAAAAGCAGCCAGAAGTTTCCAAAACTGGACTGAAAAAAACATGCAAGAGCTGATGGACCACCAAAACTACCCCCATCAGTTAAACCGTATTTAGGAGAAAGGAGAAGATCAACTACACTCTTTCTTCAGATCTGAAAAATCCACAGGTGTTTCTGTCCATCCTTCCACTGTGAGAAGACAACTGAACACTTTGCGTCTGAAAGAATGTGTAGTTGTCAAAAAGTCGTTGCTGAGAGAAGAAAACAGACAAAAAAAACAAAAAAAAACAAGATAATTTGTAAATCTGACAAAGTTAGTTAAATTTGAAGACAATGAAAATGTGCATCATGGTGGTTTTGCTCATATTTAAGGGTTGATGTATTTATACTTTGCTCCAAAAAACAAGTGCCTGAATGTGATTGTGTTGTTAAGGGCTTGATTGAGAAGAGAGAGGTAGTGAATCTGTATCACTAACCAGGCTAACTACTCTAGCTGATGTTAGCTCGGGCCAGAAACAACAAAAATATATTTCTCTGACATAACATGTTATCTGTATTCCACCGAGGACAAAACACCTTGTGTAGAAGACAGTGAGTCCTTATCAACATCCGACGTGACACTGGTTAGCTCTGTTAGCTCATTAGCTCATCTGAAGAGGCAGCATCCACCACTCATCCAACATGAAAACCTGCCCCTTGGCTGTTTTTGAATAATAAAACATGTTTCTTGGCTCTGTGCTCGAGCAGCACCAGTGCTGTAACCTAAAATGTAAGCCCAGATTATATTTGCATTATATAATATTCGGCCAAAGTGCATTTTTTGCTGTTGTTTTTTCCGTCCCTGCAGTTAACTGGATATCTGGATGGACTCAACAGATACATGAATATCAAAATTAGTCAGAATGTGCATCCCTAGTTACAACAGGAAATGAAATAAATGAAAAGTGGTCTCTGACTTTTGCACAGTACTGTATAAACAGTGTCACTTCTTATTACACACGAACAGAAAGGCGTACACCTTCTCCACATCTCCTCATTGGAAGGAAAAGTTAACCAAATAATAAAAAAAATCTGTAAACCTGTTCTTGCCTTAAGAACATCACATGTATTGAGAGTTGGTGCATCTCTGGTGCAGTGATATGTATTAACACCTGATAGAAAGCAATACTATGTGAGGATGAAGGAGGTTAAACTTGCACTTCAACCTGCTCCTTGAAACCTCACTGGTTACCTGCATTAATGAATACTATTCTGCTGGCTCTTTGCCACACTGAAGCAATATGAGTTTAATAATACGTTAAAGTCACAGTCTGGTAAAAAATCTAATTTTTTCCCTCTCACCCCAAAGTCAATCAGCCACGACATGTTTGGTGTCTAAATGTGCTCCTTTAGTTTTTTGTAGCTGACGAGAACAAAACTTGGCGTATTGGATGTACTGCTTACATTATATGACATACTGTTATCAATAGAACTACACAAAGTTTATCCATACTTTTCTCCATTTCAGTAGAAAACAAACTCTGGATACCAGACATGTCTTGGCATATCGACCACACTTGATGCTAGGGAGGAAACTGTGTAAACTTGATGTTTTGCCAAACTATCACTTTAAGTGCATCAGCATTTTATTGCAAAATGTCACTGTTGCATGTTGTAGTAAAGTACCACTGTGGCACTGTGTTTGCATCTAATTGAAAAATAGTTCTGCGTAATAGTCTGCATGTTTTTGCAATAAAATGAGAGATGACACGATGGGGGAAGCTTTGAAGGTGACTGGCACAGAACTGGGGGCATGTTAAGCACTCATTTTTTACATTCAGGCCTCATCACATTAGATCTCTGTCCAGACTTTAGGAATTAGTTTTGGTATCATTTGACTGCTGGTTAATTGTAGCAATTATGAATACAATGAGTGGAGCGTAATATCACTAACACAGAGAGATCAGTCATGTGGAATTGAGGACTGCATGTAGAGAAACAGAGTTAGAAGTGTTAAACGTGATATCGGGTTGAAGAGGAGCATTTCACAGCTCTAAAACTGGCTTTGAGTTTGGATACAATATGACTTTCTCACCAAAGCAGTAAGGTAAACTTTTGTTACTAACACTATCGTCTTGGTCCCTTCAAAGCACAGTTTTTATTATTCGTGGTGGAATTGGATTTAGCCAGCACTGAAAAGAGTGCTTTGAATTGAAGTCATGTCATGAGATTAGGAACAATTACATAGAGCTCACAATGCCAAAGCCATGTGACACAGTTATGATGTAATAATTATAATTTAGACAGCTAATTTGTAACTGGAGAACCCCCTGCGTTTTGTAGTACTTCAAAGACGCTTCTCACCAGTAGTGACCTCTCAAGCACAAATTATGTTCAATTAATAAAGAAAAACGACAATGTAATTGGTTTTTTACTTGCTAATTTTATATCTCAACCACGCTGGTTACAGTAGGCCTTTAGCTGAAGTACAGTGAGACCATGCATTAATTCATTTAATTTCCACTCAAAATGGCTATTAAGTACAAGTGATGACTTTTTCAGTGTCAGGAAAAAGCAGAAAACATTTATTTAACAGAAAGCGTTGGTTTCCAGGACAGGGATGTCCACACTTTGCCTTTATTACAGCTTTTATTCTCTTTGGGAGACTTAGTTTTTCAAAGAAATCTGCAGGGATATTTTTCCACACATTCAAGTTCAGTCTTAGAAGTTGGTTGCATTTCAGTCTAAGTAATCCCAGTTACAAATTTAGACACAACTGAGGCTACTCCACCTCCCCAGGCATTCAGTTTTTGTTTCTAGTGCTTTTTTTTCTTTTTGTCCATTTCCTTTTCTCAGGAATGAACTGAAACGCTTGTGGAGTTTCTGAAATGTTTTTCTCCTCTCTCTCTAAGATTTAAGCTGTAAGTACTGTTTATCTGATGGTGACAGTTTCAGTGGTCTACCAGGTCTTATTTCCTTTTGACTTTTCCCTCCTTTATGCACATGTATTATGTTATATCTTCTCTCCTCAGAAATATCTTCTTAAAACATTTTAGATGAACATGAGAAAGAAATTTGCAATGCAGCTGTGTTTGGAAAGTTGCTTGTGTGGATGTCAGTGTCCCTTTGAAGTGGAACAAAATCTAAGTTAGAACTAAAAAGTGGAGAAATTAAATACTGACAGATTTGATATTATATTTGTTGTGGTTTGAGGCTTTTGTGTAATTTTCGGTTAAATACGTTTCCTGCTTTTTTTCAGACACTGAAAATTTAATAACTAGTATGTAATGGCCATTTTGACTGGAAATAAAATAAACAAAAAGGTGGTCTTAGATTTTTGCAAAGTAATGCACATTAACTGAGTGGAGCTGAACATAAGGTAGGGGTGTATAGTTATATAATGGGGTACATTATAAGACCTGCAGGCCCTCACATGCTTTGGACCGTACCCACATTGAGGACCGTAACGACATTGCCAGCATCTTATAGAATACACTTTAGTCACTATAATCACAAGCACACTGAATGAAAGTATGTTCGCTCTATGTAACTGTACTTAAAAGGTCTCAATATTCAAACAATACTTGCAATTAGGTTGTATACCTGCAAATTTTGCATCATAACAATGAGGAACATCATAAAGGCATCACTAAAATGTAAGGAGAAAGCCTTCCGTTAGGTCATATTCCAAACAACAGTCAGCCAGAAAGCTAATCTGAGTTTTATCTGCTGAACACCAGTCAAATTTCTTATGAGTAAAACACCAGAAATGTAAAATGATTCCAGAAGAGGATACGACAATAATTAAAGATGTAAAAATATTGAGGGCCATTGCAGCATGCACAGTTTTTTTTTTTATCTATATTAGTAGCAAAAAAGATAAATTCATGAGGAAATTTTTAAAAAATCAATGGAAATATACCTGCAAATAGTGCATTTTATCTTCCTGAGGCTCCCTCAATGGATAACCCTGGGGGACCCCCCTTTCTAAGGTCGAGAATTCGTACTTGGCAATACGGTCTACCGTCATGATATCAGCAGCAGAGCTATAGTCATATGGTCTGTCATATATTAAGTCCGGATGAATGCCTCCATCCTGGCTGTTTTCTGCAAACGCAGAAAGCATATACATCAGGATTAAAAATAAACGTGCTCAGATACACAGACAGACAGACAGACAGACGAATAGGTAGAGAAAGACAATTCACTTTTCTTGGTTTTGGGTCCGCATTGAAATTTTGAAGCCGTTTAGGACAAACAAACAAAAAAAGACAGATTAATAAGAAGTCTTTTGGGAGAGCAAAACCATTTGCATTTGGGGGGATTCTCTTACTAACATCATGACCGTTGTCGTTTACCAAACAGGAAGTACTCCAGTGTGCTGCTAAAAAGCAAACGGCCTCTCTAGAGAAACTCGCTGATGAAGGAAATCACTAAGCTCAGCTACGTAAAAAAAAAAATTCATTTAGGTAATCATTTTACATATGATTACTTTAGGAGTAACATGTTAGTAATAGTTGTTACAGTGCTAAAGGTTGAACCTTGTGTGGGGAAAATAAACAGTTGTAGGGCAGTGCAAAATGCTGATCTTAGGCAAATGTGGACTGGTTGCAGGATGAAAGATGACATTAGCTATCAGCACAGGCAGCTTATCATGCAAATCATTGGCAGAGAAGAACAAGAAACGACCCTTATACATACAACTGAGCTGTGTTATACAAGGCAAGCCCTCTGAAAAGAAGCAGAAGCACTGGTAATATTAAGAGCACAATAAAAAAATTAAAATAACGTGTTGCACATTTGATTTATAATTACTAATCCCTTGACAGTGGATTAAAAAGGTGGGCAAGATGCAAAATCCAAAATGTCTCCCTGTTACTAAACACTATGTAATACATGTAATACTGTCCCTAGGACAGAAAGTTTCGCCTAATGTTATTATCATGTGACCTGACTTTATTTGCAGTATAATTCACCCTCCCAACGTTGGTTAAAATAAAGTTTTCACATTTACTTTTTATATTAAGCTATTAAATTAAACAAAGCTGAATAAAATAACAACCAGTAACCTCCAGAAACAAGTAAGACAATACAAAAAGAACTGACATTACAGGTGAAGCGTGCATCAGTTATGGCTCAGTTGACACTATCATTTCTTGTAAAGTGAATACAGTCACTTCAAGTGAGACAACAATCGACTTCTATGCTCTGTTACAATCTATTGCACTATTAAATTCTACTAAAGTAACTGTCTTTGAAAGTGCCTCAGGAAAAGTCACTGCCTTCTCATTGTTTCTGTTAAGGCAGGAAAAGTACAGTTCTCATTATATCAGGGAGAGATTTTCTCTCTCAAGAAAAACTAGGTCACATGATAAATCCAATAAGACTAATCATTGGCTGTCCCAAAGAGAGGTCTAGCACTTCTTAAATGAACCCTTTCTCCAGTTTCAGCACAAATTCATTTTTAGATTTACAGCAAATGATGTCTGATGGGTGACCTAATTCTATGAAAAACATGAAAAGGGGAAACTTCCCCTAATCCCTCTTTTCCTGCTGCTTTATCCACATCCTTTTCTCTTCTGGCACCATGCACATGTTTTCCCAGTGGCTCTTACCTTCGTCCACGTCGTCATTGGACATAATGGCCACGCACTTCTCCCAGACCATCTTGACGTCAGCCCTGTATCGGTCACAGGCCCAGAGGAACATGGGGAGCAGGATGGACTGAGCTATGGAGCACCAGAGCACACACAGCACCATCCAGCTGTAGGAGCGGTCGTACTTCAAACTAGCAAAACTCACCACCTGTAAAAGAAGTGACCAGATCTCATCAGCAGAGTTCAAAGTGTAGCAATTAGCATACTGTCTTACTACACATTCTTTAAAAAGATGGTTCTTCAAGGGTTCTTTTGTAAAGAAAATTGTTCTATATAGAACCATGAACACTCAAAAAACCCTTTGGTCATGCACAGTTCACATCCATTATGAATGTGTTCTTCAGATTGGTGGAGAATATGCTGTAGATGGTTCTATGTAGAACCTATTTGAAAAGGTTCTGTATAGCACCAAAAAGGATTCAGCTATTGTTTTGATGTCAAGCTTGTAACAATGGTGCTATTATTGTACTGTAGGAAATATCATTCTTGTTTCAGTTAAGGGTTTAACATTATTCATGGGGCAGAATGGAGCAATTAGCATGTTTACTGTGCAATGCAGTATTCCTGCTTCATTCAAGGGTTTAGATTCATTCTTAGTTAAGAATGTAACTGTTAGCATCTCTTAATTTAAGATGTGACATTCTTGTTGTATTCCAGGGTTTAGCGTCATTCTCAGGTATGGAATTTGTGATTAGCATTATTGTTCTATTGAAGGGTTTAGTATTGTGGTGTCCGCACAGGCCCTGTTCCTGTAGGGAGTTCAAGGAGTGTGGCCATGCAAGGTTGCCACACTCCTGGCTTAAAAGGGACATTTGTTGTTGGTGTTTGGATAAGTTATTAGTGTAGTTGTGTTGTTTGTAGTAATTGTGTCCCGGAAGACCCCAGTGTGCAGTGTTTTCCGGGTCTTCTCCTGCAATGACGCTACAGTACCATTTTCAGTGAAGAGTATAGCGTTTAGCATACTGTCTTACTGTAAGATGTAACATTATAGCTTCATTTAAGCGATTAGGATTTTTCTCAGTGAAGACTGAAGTGTTTAGCATATTGTTTTACTATAACAACACTCTTCTTTCATTTAAAGGTTTAGCATTGTTCTCACTGGACACTGTAGCAAGTAGCACACTGTCTTACTATCAGATGTAACATTCCTGCTCCATTCAAGAGTAAGAATCTTGTTCCAGTCACAAATTTAGCATTGTCCTCAGCAAAGAATGTAGCGATTAGCATGTTGTCTTAATAGATGTAACATTACAGTTTCAGTCAAAGGGTTTAGCATCATTCTCAGTAAATGGCCACAGTGAATAGTATCATTATAAAGGAGGAGACTGGTCAATGGTTGAAATTAGAATGGGAAAGAGCCAGTCAGCTTGATGGTAAAGCTGCTAGTGGGGAAAACTTGATATGCTTAAGTGCAGTAGGCAGAACAACACAAAAAAGCATGTTTTTGTGCATTATTTAGCCAAACTATTTATGAAGTTTTTTGTTAGATTTTGTCAGTGATTGCAAATCTGTTTCTGAAACAGTAATTTGACCTTCAGTTTTGAGTGTTTTCATCTCTTCCCATTCAAACAGATAGGAGCCTGGTTTTGAATGGCTGGAAATAACTGCCCGGTGGCATTGAAAAGATGGCCATCAAGTGAATAGGCTTTCCTATAAGAACGTTAGTATGTTGTCTTCCTGTACAATGTAGCACTTTTGTCCCAGCTTTAGCATGATTCACAGGGCATGGCATAGTCATTGACATGTTGTCTTTCTATCCCACTCTTTTTCCATTCAAGAGTTTAGTGTCACTCACAGGGCAGGATGTAGTGCTCAGCATATTGTTTTAGTGTGTAGCATTATTTGTCTATTCAAGTTTTTAGCATCACTCACAGGGTACGATGTAGTGATGAGCTTACTGCTGTTGTAGGAACAAAACCTGATATCTCCAAATTGATAACTTTACAGGAGAAGGAAAAATCACACTTTACTTTTAATGTAAGTCAATGGAACCAGACTTTTTTCCAAGTTGTTCTGGGTTATTTCTTTTGGTCCATTCATCACGACATTTACACTCAAGGTAAAGCGCAACAGGTACCAAATTATGTCAAAAACTGGAAAAAGTAAAAAATGGACATACAAGGTCTTGTTCCGACAACAGTGAGATTCTACGTTATCCACTGGTGTGACGTAAGCCATGTGTAGCTACTGCACTAATGAATAAACACAGTGAAGGAGGCTCCGCTCTCCCAGATAAGTGTTACTGATTTTCTGTCTTGGTATATTCCCGCCAAGAATACACTCTTTGATTTCAGCTCTTTTTTGAAAACACAATCATAACCACTTGCCCAATTTGGGTGGAGAAACATAGGCTAGTGAAACAGCTTCAGTGCTTAATCTCCCAAAGCCAATGTTATGCTACTATTAGCATAGCCATTCCACTTCATGCAAGGCTTAGTTCAGCCAGTTACACAAGAGAGCCTTTAAGTATCTATTTCACCCCATTAGTTATCACAACATTTCATAATACATACTCATAAGCATGTGTAGCATATCGCTGTGAAGCATGCTCTAAAGGGCACTCAGGTGGGCCGTAAGCTAACGTTCAATGCGCTCTCCATAAAAGCAGTCATAAATGAAGTGTGATGTGCTATAGATGTCAATGCATTTAAATAGCTCATTATTCCAGAGAAGTAGAAAGAAGCAGGGCCTTGTGGATGTCCTGACATAACTCTAAATACTCTAAATATAACCTCTTTGTGGACATTTTTTCATGTACCTCAAGCATGTGCCTGAAGTGTGATATCAGTGTAACTATACATTAAAGAAATGAGCTATTCTATTAATTACTAAAAAATGAGGCAGTGATAAGCAGGGGTATAACAAATGAACAGAAGAAGCAAAGCGGAAGGAAAAGACATACTGGCCTTTGTTACAGAGGTAGAGAAAATGGAAAACTAACAGGCGTGTGTTAAATATTAATGGACTGTTCGTAGGAGAGTTGGATAATAAAGCAAGCTCTGACACAACTGGAGCAAGATGCATGGACTCTTGAGGCTCCTTGATGACACCTGCATGTTAAATGTCTGCAACTGTTCAGCTACACAACAGAATCAAAAATGTTTTTCTGTTTTCCTTTGGGGGTGGAAATATGCAAGAATATGAATATATTTATGCAAGAACCAAAGGGTTCTTTAAAGTTATTTACTTGTGTCTACAGGAATACACTAAGCTAGTGGTCATCAACCCTGGTCCTCGAGTGTAGAACCAACTGCAATCCGCCACACCTGCTCCAGGTGATTAACTTCTTCAGAAATCTTTAATTGGCTGAATCAGATGCATTGGCGTTACATGAGAGGACGGGCAGCATGTTAGCTGCAGATTGGAACAAAACTCTGTAGGAAAGTAGATCTCCAGGAAGAGGGCGAGTGACCAGTGCACTAAACTGTTAAGGCCTTAACATTTATTTTTCTAGATTATGAATTTTATGGAATGTAGTTTTGTAAACTGCATGTATCATAGTACATCTGAATTAACAACCTGTTTGTTTCTTTCAAGGTACATTTTCCATTAAAATTTGGCCACTGCACTCCTAAAAATAAAGGTGCCCAACAGGGTTCTTTGAAGCGATGACAAACAAGAAACTCTTTTGGTTCCCTAAAGAACATCTTCATGGATGTTTTTTTGGAACAATAGTTTGTTAGTGTGAAGAACCTTTTTTAAGTTTGAAGAACCTCCACATAATAAAAAGGTTCTGCACCAGCCTTTACAGTAATGTCACATGAATTTCACATGTGCATAAACACTTCCCATGTTAAAAATGTGATCATGTGATGAGCATAAGTGGTAGCATTTGAAAATGTGCAAAAGTATGGGCGCCCTGGACAAACGACATTTTCTTGATTTTCTTAGTGAAAGTAATTTAACACATCCTCTACAGAGAACTGCACATTTCAAAGTACAATTACTGTTTATGAAAATGACTGTACACATGGTAGATGGTAAAAAAGGGCTTTAGCTTAGTAAAGTTGTGAAGTATTGTATCCAGTTTGAGATCTACTGAGCGTTTATTCATTGTTGTGTATTTCGTGTATGACCTTTGCTTATCGTTTTCCCGTCTCTGCCCTTTTTGCTCTTCCCTTTGGATTTGGTTGCATTTGTCTCTGATTTTGGATTATGACCACTTGCCTGTACCTTTGACCACGCTACTGCTTTTCCCTTTTTGGATTGTTGCCTTGGCTGATTTTTGTATCTTTTGTGTGCCTTCTGGATCTGAACTCTGCCTGGTTATCGACTACGACTTTGAACTCTGTTTCTATCAGTAAAGCCCTTTCTTTAAGTTGCATCTGCGAGCGTCTGACCGTGCTTGAAACCTTACACGCGTGAGTGTATAAAATTATTCTATAACAAAAGTACTACTCTAAAACAGATTTCAACTAATTTGTAGGAAGTTGTACAAATGTATGTATCACAGGCAGATAACATATCAAAGAATTACTTTAAATAAAAATACTATTCAAATGTTGAATAAAACATTTTAAAGTACTCTTTGTTGTCTCACTTCTAGTATTTCAGTCTACACTGTATAAGTTTAAATACAATTGTTTAATAAAAATAAAGCAACAGCAAGTGTGACAGATTTTATAACACTGCACTGCATTTTGATACTAAAATTAAACTGAAAACTAAAAAATCCTATTTTAAAAGAACAAAAATACTTTTATATGTTGTGTATGTAGTATGTTTATTCTCTTATGGGGTGAGCAGGTGGGGAATTTATGGAGGGCTAAATTAAGCATGCCATGGGCCACACTTTGGGCAACTCTGTTCTATACCATTTAGAGGTTTTCCTAGAATCGTACATCCCAGCTTAGAATCAGTTAGGAGCCTTTATTTCTAAAAGAGTATATGGCATTAGGGCGGCGTTGGAGGCCCCAGTGCTCTGAAGTGGAGAGTTCTCTCACAAAGGCATGCAATAAATCTGCTCCAGTCTGGAGTCATTAGTCAGCCATTCAACAGCCCAGTGGAAACAGTGAGGGTCATTACATACAATGCATCTGTGTGGGCCACTGGAAGATGGTTCAGCAGGCGAAATGTAAATCAGTTCCAGATTCATAGCTTATAAAGTGCGTATGCACCACAGACTATTAAAATCACAGGCTGTGGACCATGTGCTGGGTAGAGTGGCAATATAGTGGTACTCGGTGGCCAAATGGGAAAACTCAAAAGTATAAATAAATATTAATATACACCAGACATTTTTGAAGATGGCAAAAGTGTCTCATTATAGCTTAGACTTTTCAAAAGTTGACAGTTTAAAGGGTTTATTATAGCAAACCTTTCGTAAGCAAGGAAAAAGATGATCTAATGACAATTTTCAGTTGGTTGAGTTTCTCTCACATTAAAGTTTCTGCTGCCCAAAGTGCTAATATCGGAGAAACCATACCATCTATACTTTATAATTTTCCCTGAATGTCAGTTTGAAAGTTCATCTTTCCTCACAAGGAGTCATTTGGCCCATACTGTGAGCTTCATGAAAACATTTAAAATTATTCTTCTAACCAGCCATATATTTTGGCTATGTTTACATTATAAGTCTCATTGCTTAATTCTGATTATTTTGCTCACTTCTAATATTTCTAACATGATGGTTCACAATTGTGCAAGAAAAGCTACATTCAGAGTACCAGACTGAAGTGGCACAAATGCGATTTTTTGCCATCAGATACAAATGTTTTCAGAGCTGTGTGAACACACCCATCTGATCTATTTTTAAATCAGATCTGAACCACTTTCATATGTTGTTCTAAATGGATACATATGTGATTTACAGCCATGCGACCTTAGTAAGAACACTCAGGGAATTCATGTGTTTTTTTTTCACTGCGCGAGCACCATCATTCAGCGTTGTCATGGCAGCAGCGCTAAACCTGAAGTTAGAGCCAGTAAACCCTACAAAAGCATCTGTCCCTCCCACATCTGACCTCCCACATCACCAATCAGTAATCCCCTCCAAAATATAAATGAGTGGAATGTGTTTATTTAGCTGTTCAGATGTGGAATTAGGGGTGGGTGGTATGGCAAAAGTACCATATCACAGTACTTCAAGACAGAGACAAAAGGTAGTACCACATATAAATACAGCCATTAAAAACTCTAATGATTTTTACCAATTAAACAAGACTAATTACGTTCTTTTTTTAATGAAACATGCAGTGCTGACGATATACACGATATCCTCAGATAAGCATATTGTGTATCACGCTAATAAAATTGATCACAATAATGATAAAATATTGTCATACTGTCCACCTTTATGTGAAACAGGAATTTGACACATCATAATTTTTAAACACTGTCATAATTTTTCAATACTGGCATCAATTTTAAATACTATGGTGTACCTCATGACCGTTATACACCGATCAGGCATAACATTATCACCACCTCGTTTCTACGCTCATTGTCCATTTTATCAGATCCACTTACTATACAGGTGCACTTTGTAGTTCTACAATTACAGACTGTAGTTCATCTGTTTCTCTGCATACTTTGTTAGCCCCCTTTTACCCTGTGCTTCTGTGGTCAGGACCCCCATGGACCACCACAGAGCAGGCCTTATTTGGGTGGTGGGTCATTCTCAGCACTGCAGTAACACTGATGTGGTGGTGGTGTGTTAGTGTGTGTTGCGCTGGTCTGAGTGGATCAGACACAGCAGTGCTGCTGGAGTTTTTAAACACCTCAGTGTCACTGCTGGACTGAGAATAGTCCACCAACCAAAAATACCCAGCCAAAAGTATCCTGTGGGCAGCATCCTGTGATAACTGATGAAGGACTAGTGGATGACCAACACAAACTGTGCAGCAGCAGATGAGCTATCGTCTCTGACTTTACATCTACAAGGTGGACTGACAAGGTAGGAGTGTCTAATAGAGTGGACTACAGTCTGTAATTGTAGAACTACAAAGTGCACCTATATAGTAAGTGGAGCTGATAAAATGGACAATGAGCATAGAAACAAGTCATGTTATGCCTGATCGGTAAATATCCCAACCCTAATTCATGTTTTTTTTGGTTTTTTTTGTGCACTAAAATACACAGGAAATGCTATATTTAAGTGTGTTTCCTGTAGAGGATGTGTTAACTTTCATTTAGGAAATCAAGAAAACATGTAATTAGACCAGGGGTGTGCAAATATTTGCGTAGTGAAATACTACTGGTTTGTCCATATCATGCTACTCTATTCACACAATACTAAACAAATGTGTAGCTTCTCTCAAGGCCACTGTTGTTTAGCTCTCTCTCTTGCTCTCTGGTAACCTGACCCACTTAGAGCACTAGATGAGGTTAAATGCAAAGGTTCATTTAATAATAATAAAGTCTACATAAGCACCTCTGTGATCCATTGGGAACATTACTTCTGTAATTAAGAGCAAACCACTTTTTAAAGCTTTTTTTTTAATGCTATGCCAACTTTCTGTTGAGTGTTTTTGCCAGCTCTCCAGAGATGAATAATCCTGTGGTCTTCAGACTACTTCGACTTCCTCACAACCTCATCTTCTGTCTCTCTCTCTCTCTCTCTCTCTCTCTCTCTCTCCCTCTCTCTCGGGAACCCTGGTCTCTTTGAGTAAAAAAAATAAAAAGCACACCACTGATCTAAGAGTAACTCCTCCACTGCTGACAAGCGTGGAACTGGAAATTGGTCATTAAAGTTTAAGCACAGAGCCCTTGCTCCACCATAGTGGATGAAAGCTTTCACAGTCTCTCTAAGTGGCCGGAGCCGGGGACAAATCCAGCCCAGTTTGTCACAGACACATCAATCTTTTCCATGGAGCACAGGTGGCACACATCTGAACACCACTTCCACTCTTTATACTCCAGGATAAAAAGTCATGAATGTCAAAATGAAACAGCAATGCCTTTCCAAGAGCCAACTTTTTTCTAAACATTTCAATTCAGTTATAAGAATATGTATTGTGCATTATGCATAATACTAGTGAGAGTTTAGCTTAAGGCCCTTGCATAAAAATGCATTAAATATTTAGAGCACATACATAATTTGCTTATGAGTTTTATACATAGATGAATATTTGGGTAGACAGTTGTAAAGCATAAATGTCAAATAGCTATACAGGGTTTATGATTGTGTTATACATACATAAATAATATATAAAATCCTGAGTATGGGCCTTCTGTTTATTTATGATTCCAATATTACTTTATACGGAAGCTCTTATTTTGTTTATTGATTTTTTTTCTGCTTTATAACATCATGACTCAGGGACCACAGTTGAAAATCAGCCATGCGCATTGTCAAAAATACAGTTATATGCAAACGTTTGGGTGCCCCTGGTCAAATCATATGTTTTCATTATTTCCACAGTGAAAATAATGTAACACATCCTCTACAGGAAACGTAAATATGGCATTTTTTCTGCAATTGTGCACATTTCTTCTTTGTGTGGTGAGTACTGGGAAAATATGAAACATAAAATCTAACCCATAATTTAATATAATATATAATAATAACCCCCCCCAAATATGTTAAATTCAGCAAATAAGTGTATTCTTCGTAGAAGATGTGTTAACTTATTTTCAACCAACCAACACACCAGTCTTTCTCAGCCAAGGAGATTAATTCAACTCACGTATTCAAATTCATGATCAAACCCTTCATTAACATCCCCGCCATGTCTGCTTTCACTCACCAGAATGGGGAAGCCAGTGAGGAAGTCGTAGATGAAGACGATGCCGCTGATCAGGTAAGTGATCTGCAGAGAGGTCTTGATGGGCTCGGAGCCGTCAATGGACGAGCGGCGCTTGCCCTGCGCGTCCTCCACTACAATGGTGGGCACGTTGAACTTGTTCTTATCCACGTTGTGTCCCGTCTGGATGGAGAAGGTCTGGAAGAGGGCGATGCCGATGCAGATGACGCCCATGGCCACGCTGCCACTGATCAGCAGCAGGAAGCAGACACCAAAGCCCAGGCCAATCTCCGTCACAATGAAGCGACAGTCGTGGGCGTAGAAGCGCTCGCTGGTGTCGTGCCAGCCCACGGCCGGCAGAGTGGACAGGATGAAGGAGACCATCCAGATGCCCATAACTGTGTGCACAGCCTGCTTCTTTGTGTTGCTCAACCTGGGAGTGAGGGAAAAGAAGAAGAAGAAGAAGAATGAGTGGCTAAAATAGCTGCAAAAAACATAATGAATAACAAAAGATCAATAAACAGTTAACAGATTTAGCCTTTAGGGGACAGATTGGCAAAAAAAAAATCACGTTTACATAATTTTCCTTATTCCAAATGTGGTCAATCAGCCAAGACATTTGATGTATGACATTTGCTTATTTAGTTTCACACTGGAGCTACGGCTAATGTAGCCAACAAGTAACAGAAGTTTATAACCACTATTTAGTATTGTGTAAACTGCATTGCGAAATTATCACAAACCTGCCTTAAACTGTGTTGAGTTTTTCAGTTTTTCAGTAAACAGATGTTTGCATGGTTTCTGACACTGTATGACATACTGCTATGACATGAAAAAAATGCATGGACATTCAGGCATCAGGATGGCCACTGCAACTGTTTTTAGCCTTTATTTTTGTCTGGTAATTGGTAGCCACAAAGTTCCATTAGGCTGCTTGTTAGCTACATTAGCTACATTAGGCTAGCTGGAATTGCCAGATTTCAGCGGTGGCAAAATCAAACAATCTGGGGCCCTTTGGAGGTCGGGGGTGTCAAGCAAGCATCTAATACATGCTTTATTATATATGTAATACTATCTTCTCTGGCTTTTTTTAATGGTTAAAATTGTCTTTGGGTTATTTAGTTGTGTCTTGTATAACGAACGATGTAGGATAAAATATAGGTTTTCTACAAGGAACATTATACATTTTCCAGTTTCAACCAATCTTCCAGTCTACTGTTTGTTCTGGCATTGTAATAAACAAAATTAAGGTAACCTACAGTTAATGCACTGTGTCTTCTGTAAGCTAAGCAACGCATAAAACAGCTGAAGATACATTTTTAATTGCTTTTGAAAGCCGCCTAAGAAATAAAATTTATACTACTGTACTAAATAGTATGATATATAGCACCACTGGTGATGTACTTATTAGATGTGTTATTCAGTACGGTATATGCAGTATATAGCAGCAGAATGCACCCATTACCACAATTGAAAACCCCTGCACGTGTACAAGTGAGGGAAAGAGAGACAGAGAGGAACGCTCTCTAGTGCTAGAAAGGCACATTATCTACTTCAACAAATGGGAAGCATTTAGAGTGACCTCACTGTACCCACCTTTCTGTTTTGTGTATTCTGGTGTTGTCAATGAAATGTTGTGACAGTTTTACACTATCAAGGCCATATAGTTGGAGTTAGATATAAGTTATAAAAGGTATGCAAAACATGTACCTGTGCATTTACGGGTTAAGATGAGATTTAAAATGTTCCTCATTTATAATGTAAATAGCACATGGACTACATGGAGTGCTTCAAGTCTCAGAAAAGCATTCCCAGTATTCCCCAGTGTTACTAGTGTTAAAGCCTAGCCATGCTTAAAACATTTCTAAAATATATGAAAGCCTGAAGCACCGTGAACAATGTTTATCTTGTTCCTTTTGTTCTTGCAGACCCAAGAAAAACCTTAAGGATCTTAAAGTTCTAAGTTTCGGAACAGGTTTCTTGTCTAACTTACCATTAAAAAGCCAAATGCTGTGTATTTAAATTAAAATGTTTTTACTACTACTTGCATACATGTTACTAACACAATTTCAATGCAAAGGATGTTAAATGATAAATAATATTGAATTAAGAATTTGCCATGTTAGTTACCCATAAAATTGTAAAGCTTTCCCTGTTTTAAATGATAAAGTGGCAGAATCTGGGATGATTGATTTTGCAATTATAACCCTCTGCAATATTAGCAGTGGTGAACTGTGATTTTTAGAGCCAGGTCCAGTTCAGGCCACAAATGTCAAAACCTGGACATTTAAAAAAACAAGGAAAAATACACTTCTTTGCTAATTACTGCTTATGCTCTTATGGGATTATTCTTTGGCTATTATAGATTAAACATGGACATTTAAAGCTTGTAAAAGATATATATTTTACCTTGCAGCACTTTTACAGTGATTTAGTATCCAGCTCTAGCCTAGACCTGCCACTGTTTTCCACTTCTAATAAAGAACTGAAACTCAATGGTTAGGCTACCACTTGTACTCGGTTATTGATGTGCAACCCCAAATCAGGTTGGGACGATATGTTGAAATTAAAACTGAAAACAGTGATTTGTAAATTATTTTGACTAGCATTACATTTAAAACAATACAACAGCATTATTTGATGCTTTATCTCATGAATTTTATTGTTTAAAATCAACACGTATTTCATTTCTTGCAGCATACTTGAAAAAAATTAGACAGTAAAGCATTGACCACTTTGTAATGTTGCCATTCCTTTTCACAACCCCTAAAAGACGTATAGGGACTGAAGACATCAAGCAATAAGGTGTTTCAGGTATAACTTTTTCTTGACGTTTTAAGATGAACAGTACGGGGTCTTTATTGTCACACTTTGCTTTTTAAAATGCGTGAACATTCTCTACTGGGGACACATCAGGACTGCAAGCATCCAGTCCAGCACCCACACCCGCTTTGGCAGCCATGCCTATGTAATGTGTGCAGAATGTGGTTTTGCGTTGTCTTCTTGAAATATGCATGAGCGTTCCTGGAAAAGATGTCGTCTCAAAAGCACTAAGTGTTGCTGTGCTTTTCATGATTAGTGGTGCCATCACAGAAGTTTAAGTTCAGATATTTAGTTTTTCAGAAATTATTAGGCCTTCTCTGAAGGCCTGGAAGGCCCTGAGGGTTCTCAACTGGATACAAGTCTCAAATAGAGCTTCTGCCTTAATATTGAACACATAGGTTGCTCAGTTTTTCTTTGTTGATACTATGATATGAAACATATTAGCGTGCCCTATCAACACTGCTCTAGTGATGCTATCCAGGTAAAAATACCAGATAAAAATAATTAAAGGAGTTACGAGGCTAATATAAGAGGATCTCAGTGACACAGACATCCATTGCTTGTGAGCTACATTAACTTAAAAGCTTCAGTGCAAAACCAAAGAAGTAAACTTTGAACACCAAACATGTCTTGCTCAGTCGACTAATGTTTGGGGTAATGGGAAAACTGCAAATAGGATTTCTCTGAACTCTGTCCTTAACCTACCAAAACAATGACATTTAAGTGGCCACCATCATAGATTTGGCTGGTTTTTCAGGCCAGGCATATCGCTCAGGACTCTGAAACCTGCCAAGTGATATACACCTCATCCTCAAAGCCTATTATTCTCTCTCTCTATCTCTGTCTCTCTCTCTTTCTCCCTTCTCCTCCTATTTGTCTCCTGTCCTTCAGCCTCTCTCCTGCCTTCACCCAAGTCAATGAGCTGAGCCTGACGCCGCTGATGGAGGAGGACAACAAAGAAAGAAAGAAGGAAAGGGCCAAGGTGTTGACTCATCCTCCACGCTCTTCAGCTGTCGGCTGGAGTTGAGGACCCAGGAGCAGGAGGAGGAGGAGAGCATAGCATCCTCCATGTTTGTTAAAACCTGCCTAAGAAAGAACAGAAATCCTGTTGACTCTAAGAACACTTATAATAGAAGTCAATGTGCAGCTGCAGAATACTGTCAGTAAAATATCAACAAACCCAATTCCCAAAATGTTGGGACAGTAGGAAAAATATAAATAATGATACCTGCAACATGTTCCAAAAATGTTGGGACACGGGCATGTGTACCATTGTGTTACATCATCTTTCCTTTTAATAACATTCAGCAGTGTTTGGGAAATGAGAAAGAAATGTTCTTATCTCTGTGCTCTTCGTACAACGACTGGATAAGAACACAGCTTAATTTCTTGTTTTTATTGTTCAGAACCCTGAGGAAGAAGAAGAAGATCTTGTGAAGTAAGTCTTCTGGTGTTTTTGAATTACTGAATGTGCGCATGTGACTAATTTTGCACTACTGAGAGGTTCTTTCTAAAACATTTTCTTGTTATCTTATAATTCAATACATCTGAGTAAAGAAACTGATGGGAAGTTTTGCTGTTTGTTTTAGGTCAGTTGGCTTTTTAAGAAATGGTTCTTGCTGTAGATAAAGCAGGATGGTTTTGATGAGGTTTTACTGCAGTAATAGAAGTTTTTAAGAATTGAAAAATTATTTGTGTGGCATTAGTGTAATATTGAATTATTTGTTATACTGCCAATGTTGTTTCATAACTGATCTAGAGCACAAAAGTGATTTAGAATCAACATCAGTAGCGCAACGTGGCACTTGTTTTAGCCATGGATGTGCACGTATTCAAATATTTATTCACAGAATTCAGCAACTGCCCACTGGCTTCTATTAGAAATGAATTTGGAGTCACTTTCTTTTCTGGTCTTTCCTAGTTCAGGTAAACACGCCAAAGTGATTGTCTGTGGTATTGAGCGGTTTGATACAAAAGTTGGCAGATAAAGATAAGGTTGAAAAATACTGGAATGCTCCTTTTAACCAGCTTGGAGCCAGGAGGAAGCAGGAGCAGAAGTAGGTCTCTGGGAGCTCAGAGTCATAATGCTAGCCTTTCCTCAAACGCCTGAGGATGCCACGAGGGAGACTTACGTCATCGCGCTGCTTGAAGCCACAACCAAGAAGAGAGGGAATAAGAGAGGGAGAGAGAGAGAAAGAGAGAGAGAGAGAGAGACAGAGAGACAGAGAGAGCGAGATAGTGCCCTGGTGTTATAGTCTGACGAGAACAGATGTTGAAACATTGGTTTCCAGAGCACAGAATCCATTTATATTTCATGCCTGCACATTCCAGTGCAGCAGAAACGCAAGCTACGCTCCCATATTAAAGCAGCAGGCGGCTGGGCAACAAAGGAGGCGAATCATGTTGACTTTTCTCTTAAGACAAACTTCTCCCCCCCCTCCCTTCTTCGTTCACTCATGGCTAAAATCCGCCGAGAATCTCACAAGGCCTTGGCTTGCTGATCCACAAATAATAGTTTCGTGTCCGAGGCTGTCAATGTGGCTCAAGGTGCCGGAGCGTCTTGAAACGTATCGGTGAGCGTGATGTCTGCAAACGTGTCCTCAGGCAGCC